CCTAGTATGTATAACTGCCCAGGTTCGAATCCCATAAAGGGTATGGCTAACTGATGAAGGCAAAAAAGCCAGAAATGGTCCATCTTAGTCTCCCAATTTAATTCTTTACTCTTTGTCAGAAAAAAGAAATTTGGATATAAAAATATTTCGCAGTTGCGACTTGAGCCTGCTCTATGCCCCTAGTTGGGGGTGGCTATTGAGTTTTTTAGGGTTGGGGATAGAATAGGATCGGGATAAAGATTAAGGTTTAGGGTGGGGTTGGGATCAGGATCGGTGTTGGGAGGGGGTTGGGGTCAACATTGGGGTTATCCCCCAATAACATTTTCAATCTTTAGCAAACAGACTATTGTCTGGGTACATATGTTCAGTTAGCAATAGTTGATATAGTAATAAGTAACTGTAATAAGTGTAATAAACAATAATCATAAACAGTGTCAGTTAATTAATGCATATCATTCTTTTTACTAATATATATTCAAAATAACATAGCCAGGATATTATCTTTCTACATAGGAACATTGCACTGTAAGGATGCATAGATAGTTCTCGTTTAGCGACCACGTTTGCTAAGCAAAATGGTCACTAAGTGAAAAGTGAACTAAAAGACTAAAACACCTTTTCACCAGCAATCAGCATCCAGATAAGCAGGGATTAACCTTTGGTTAAATAACAGACTAATTTTACGCAGTAAATAATACCCCAATCAGGAAGTACCCACTCAAACAAACAATCCAGCAACAATCTAATCAAGAAACTACCAAGAAAAAAACAGGACTCACACCAGCACTTAACAGGCAAGCCACTTATATAAACAGAGAGTAAAACTTGTTCTCTTCTAGCACTGATGATGTTACCTAGTTGGGTAATGAAATGTCTGCAAGAAGAAAACAACGGAGCTCAGAGAGCACCAAGGATTCCAGAGTTATCAAATTCCCCTAGTTCAGTGATGGCAAACCTTTTATAGACTGAGTGCCCAAACTGCAACCCAAAACCCACTTATGCATCGCCGGGTGGATGTGGTCCATTGGGTGGGTGTGGCCATTGGGTGGGTGTGGCTGCGGTGGTAACGGCAGACTGGGTGGGACTAAAAAGTTCAATCAATCAATTCCAACTTTGCAAGATCTTTTTTTTCCTGTGAGAAGTTGAAATTGACTGATTGATTGAACCTTTTTTTTTTTTTTGCACACGGCGGCGGAGGCCTAAAGCAAAAAGGTTTTATAAAACCCAGCTGAAAGCCTAGGACTGGGGCAACGGCGCACGTGCCCACAGAGAGGGCTCTGAGTGCCGCCTCTGGCACCCATGCCATAGGTTCGCCACCACTGCCCTAGTTAAATCTTCTGACTTTATGACGCCAGCTTTCCCTTTACTTCTTGCCTTCCAAGATTAGTCAAATTCTTTCTGGGTTCTGAACTTATTCAGGAACCTTCACCTCTCGTTGGCCAACTCTCATCTGCTTCTGTGTGATTCTAGTCTATCAAAGGGGCTAGCTCTCACTTGCTAACTTGTTAAGCCTCTTAAACTATGCATAACCCACCAAATTCTCCTTAAAGGTCTCTTCGGAGCCTCAGTCAAAAACCTCTGCCCACAGTTTCTTGGTTTGAGCTCTTGCAACTGGAGACACTGCAGCTTAAACTAGGGACTTTGGTCAAGACAAAGCTTCACTCTCTGAAGTGCTGTCTAAACACCTCTTCTTTTTTTCCACTCTCCATATCACAAAATTCCTATTTTCAACTTAAATCTGGAATGTCTATGCCAGACATGTCAAACACAAGGATGCAGCCCGCGAAGTGGTTTCATGTGGCCTGCGAAACCATCCTGAAAACAGTGAGGGAACGGTCCCCGCTGCCTTGGCCATGGCCCAGGCCGGCCAGGAGCCAATGTACAATTTTGTGGTGGCCATCTTGGCACTTGCCCCGGTCCCATCCCCTTCTGCCAGACACCCTCAGATCTGTCCCACTCCTGCCCAGGCCCCCTTGACGCGAATGATGTAGAACTGATGTAGAACTGGCAACGCCCACCCAGTAGGCCACACCCACTCCATCCACGCCCACCCAGTAGGCTGCACCCACTCTGGCCACACTCACCCAGCCCCCCCCCCAAGGCAACCACAATGCTGATGCGGCCCTCAGTGAAATTGAGTTTGACACCCCTGGTCTATGGAGATTCTCAGTCATCCGGGTTATAGTTATCTCAAATCTAGAACCTCTGCAGAACAAAAGGTTCCCCCTGCTTCTGCCCACATGCGGTGGGATGCAACTCCCAGAATTCCCAGCCCGCCTAGCTGGGTGTCACAACCCAACATCTTTGGAGGGTCCCAAGGTTGGGAAGCTAGGCTGTGAAAAAACTAAGCTACTTAGACGTTACACATGGAAAACCAAACACGACTCTAATCTGTGTGCCTTTCTTGTGTCCTTCTTCCAGATGAGGATGTCCTGGACACCTGGTTCTCCTCCGGCCTGTTCCCTTTCTCCATCTTTGGGTGGCCCAATTCAGTAAGTGAATGTGAAGTGAAGACGTACGCGTGGATGTCTTTGCTCTTCAAATCTTGCTCACCTTTTCCGTCTTGTTCTTTCCAGAATGAAGATCTTCAGGTCTTTTACCCAGGAACCCTCCTGGAGACCGGACATGATATTCTGTTCTTTTGGGTGGCCCGAATGGTTATGTTGGGCCTCACGCTGACAGGAAAGTTACCCTTCAGAGAGGTGAGAAACAAACATCTGTTCCTGCCAGGTTGTATGAGTTCTTCTCCACTTTTCTTTACACACACACACACACACACACACACGTGTGTTATCTGTTGGGTGAAGCACCCGGTCTACCAAATATAAATCAGACTGTTCTACGTTTCTCTCCAATCTAGGAGCATGTTTTGCAGGCAGACGTCACATACTGTGAACACTATAAATTCAAAATTTTGTGGCTGACAAAGAGTTAATGGCAGACTAGTATAGCTATTTCAAGCTCTTTAGCTCTCTCTATATGTTTTATAATCACAAGTGCTTAATACTGTATTTTATTAGCAACATATTGTCTGCGTTCCAGCATTTAACTTACTAATACTTGTTAAATTCCTTTCTCACTACCTCGTTTTTCTAGCCATTAATAAAAGGGGTCCCATGTTCTAAAACATACTGAATCTTCTTTCTCTTTCATTTTCAATGTCAATCTATCCATTTCTGCACCATCTAAATTTTTTTTAATTCTTCCTCCATTGGTAAATCTTTATTTTTCCAATGTTGAGCGAATACAATTTTCGCTGCAGTTAATACATGTAAAATTAGATATATACACTCTTTCTCATAATTTCCTACAATTATGCCTAACAAAAATAGTTCTGGCTTAAAATCTATATGTTTTTTAGTCATTTTCTCTAACCATATGTGTATTCTTAACCAGAAGAATCTGTTGGCTTTGGGGCATGTCCACCAAAGATGGTAATAATAAGTGCCTGTTTTTTGTCTACATTTCCAACAATTGCTTGATATATTTTTAAACATTTTTGCTAACCTCACCGGTGTTAAATAGTTCTTCTCCACTTTTCCATCATTCCTTCTGCCTTCTGTGGTCAAATCAGGGAACCCTTAATTGCAAGAAAGCCAATTTCACCCCAAATAGAATGGGATGTCTGGTCTAAAGCACAAGGAGCTAGTCCTCCTTGAGACCGCACAAAAACCTTCAGTCAACTAAAGCTCAGAAAACCACAAAATGAGTCTCACGACATTCATGAGTTGAACTTTGTGACTGTTATACTGTCCTGAGGCATGTAACGCAACACATAAACGTGGACAATTGTTGTTCATAAATTTCATGCTTAACTCCGTGTTTGGAGCTAGTGCTTGGAAAATCAAGCATCAAACTTCTGAGATCGGTTCCCAAACTGCATTGCCTGTTTCCAGTCTACCTCAACATTTAACAGTTTGCCATGCTTCCTTTTCAGGTTTACCTTCACGCGGTCATTCGGGATGCCCATGGCAGGAAGATGAGCAAATCACTGGGAAATGTCATAGATCCATTGGATGTGATCACCGGCATTACTCTGCAGGTGACCCATTGTTGGTGACCCAGAAGATGGAAGCTGCAAGACGGTTTAGATTCCTGTTGCATTGATAGAGGAGAATATTTGTAGCTCAAGAGTTGAAATAAAGGGGTCCTTGGTACACCCTGAGCTTGGTTTTTTTCTTGCAGACGTTTCATTCCCAAACTGGGTAACGTCATCAGTGCAGTGATGACGTTACCCAGTTTGGTAATGAAACGTCTGCAAGAAAACAAGCTCAGGGTGTACCAAAGACCCCTTGGTTTCTGTTGTGGTTGGCAGCCAGGAGGCCTGTCTTTCCCCTGAGAATCGGAAACTTGATTCTTTTTCAGATCAGTTGGGAACATATGAATGGTTGCAAAGAGGAAGCTTGGTTTGGGCTGAAGGCAGCAGTAGTCAGCTGCGGTTAACAGCCAGGCCTGTGTTTCTACTTTTCACCCCAGTTATTGTGGCTTCTGTCTCAGTTGCTGCAAGGGTTGGGTTGGGATGTGGCCACCTTTAGCTTTGTCACAGTTGAGTATGACAGAGGTATTTTTCTTGAGGCTACCTTGTTTGACTTCCAAAGGTTGCAAGGAGTGTGGGGAGGGATATCCTGACATTACTAAGGAAACAATTAGG